GTTATTTATTTCAAGTTAGTTTCTGTTCATTCTTTCTGTTTGTGGATATCCTTTCTGATGTTTTAAATATAAGCCTCCTGCATTACATAGATGTTCTTAAGAGTTTGTTTGTGGCACATCCGTCTCGGTGCCCTGCCTGCACTGTGCTAAGCACGCAATTAGCTGTCTTGTTTGTGTGCGCACACTGGTATGTGTGACCATTTCATACTTTAGTCAGGGGCAGAACTTTTCATAAGATGACCCAATGTTCAAACTTGTATCAAAGAAAAATAATTTTTTATTGATTTCAGAGAGGAAGGGAGAGGGAGGGATAGAAACATCAATGATGAGAGAAAATCATTGATAGGCTGCCTACTGTACACCCCCTATTGGGGATCGAGCCCCAAAACCAGGGCCTGTGCCCTGACTGGGAATTGAACAGTGACCTCCTGGTTCATAGGTTGACACTCAACCACTGAGCCACACGCAGGGCAAAGAGAAAAAAATTTTAAGTATCACTCACCATTGTTTCCTACAAAACACTTCCTATGATCTAGAGCAGTAAATGCAAACAGTGTATTTCTTTCCCCTGGAAGGAGAGATTTCATTGTATCTCAGAGCCCTTCTTTAGGTCTATAATAGAAACAGCTCCACTCCTTGCAAATCTCCCTAGTTTCTATTTGCCAGCCCTTTCCTTGCTGTTTAAAGTGACTGCCTACTTCTAACAATGTTGCCAAAACCGGTTGGGCTCAGTGGATAGAGCGTCAGCCTGCGGATTGAAAAGTCACAGGTTCGATTCTGGTCAAGGGCATGTGCCTTGGTTGTGGGCACATTCCAGCGGGGAGTGTGCAGGAGGTAGCTGGTCGATGTTCCTCTCTCATCAATGTTTCTGGCTCTCTATTCCTCTCCTTTCCTCTCTGTAAAAAAAAAAAAAAAAAAAAGATATATATTAAATATATTTTATTGACTTTCTACAGAGAGGAAGGGAGAGAGATAGAAAGCTAGAAACGTTGACAAGAGAGAAACATCGACCAGTTGCCCCCTGCACACCCCCTACCGGGGATGTGCCCACAACCAAGGTACATGCCCTTGACCGGAAGCGAACCCGGGACCTTTCAGTCTGCAGACCGACGCTCTACCATTGAGCCAAACCGGTTTTGGCCAATAAAATATATTTTATAAAATAAAATAAAATAAAATGGTACAGTTCTATATTTTAAAAAAAACAACTGTTGGCCCCTACAACTTTCCCTCCCATTCTGAGTTCACACTGCATGCCCCTTGATTTCTACCTCTTTAGTAGCTTTACCAGTTTGTTCCTATTTTGGCAATCCTGAGACAGAAAGAATTCGGCTCACCTGGTATTTCACGGGAATAATTCATTACAATTCATCTTGCTGGCCTCATATGGCCTTTTGAAGGGCATTTTTAACCATCCTTACACATTCACGTAGATCTCTTCTTTTTCTTATATCCCCCAACCTCTCTTTTTTTCCAAACCCCGTGGTTATATTTTTGTATTAACCTTTTAGAAATAGAAAGCACAGTTTAGGCTCAGAGGAAAAGCTGAAGCCAACCTGCAGATCACCAAGCCAGCGGAGGGCTGCATTTGACGGCAGATCTGTGAGGTATCATTTAGTCTGAATCAAAGTCCAGTGCTTGGTACCTTATTTGGATATTGCTGCTTTCCATGCTTGAGCTGTTCTTCCAAACACTGGAGTTCTCGGCTACTTTTCAGTATGATGTAAGTTCCACAAGTATTGCAGTCTTCGAGTTTCTAGTAGGGGATTTCAGATAAGATTCCACATCTGAATACACTGAAAAAACTTTAGGTGAAGTAAACATTTAAGAAATGCACTTGAAGGTCTCGCTTGATAAACTAGGGAGGAAAAAAAACGTTTGAGATTCTAGTCTGACTCTTCTTTAATCTTCAAAGCAAGCAACAACCTGAACTAGTCAAAAAGAAGGCCCTCAGGGACCAGAGGCACCATCCTCACCTAATTATCCTCCCAATGGTCCTTATGGGAGGGTCTTTGCCTCCTTGTGCTCAGACATACACGGCTGGTTTTCCAAAGCTAGTAATGTCTCCTCTAACACTATAATTAAGCTAGTTCAAATGCTGAGAAATGGGGCTGTTACTCACAATATTAAAACCCACCCCGCTCTGCCACTAAATGCAGGGAGCATTCATACCAGTGGGCACTGAGAAAGATGAGAAAGTGAGAAAAGAACTAGACCGTGGAAGCTGAGCATGAAAACAATTGGCTTTGACAAATTTGTCTAAGTATATTCAGAAAGAACATAGTTTTGTTTTGTTTTGTTTTGAATTCTATAAAGGCATGTTTGAGAAGGTACAATGCTTGGTCTCATTCCAGCTTCCACTATAAATCTCTGTCTCTCTACCTCTGGCCATTATTTATTTATTTTTTAATTTTGTGCCATTGATAATGTATTCTATCTCATAGTTGATGCATCCTTATACAGTGCCAAAAATCTTTTTGGGATAAGGTGTGAACATAAACAGGTGAAAGCGAAAAGCCAGGATTTCCTCAATAATGAGATTTCTCCATGGGTGGAACCTCCTGTTTCCTTGACATTTGTGTTGTGTTGATTCGGTACCAGCACGTTTTCCATTTTCCTTGGGCCAAGCTATTTGTAAATTTGTGGGCAACGCAAGTGATTTGGAGTCCCTGCTCTCAAAGAACGTGTTTTATTTGTGGATATGAAAGAACACACGAAGAATCCCCCGACAACCCTGCCCTAGCCTTGTGCACGTGATGACATGCACAGAGAAGCCGAGATGCTGAATGCAATTTGAGCTGGTGATAGAAGGGTTCTGAACGCAAAGCTTTGGCGCTTTTAGAAAATAAAAAAATCACACACCCCCCCCCAAAAATCTCCTATGATCTCAACATCCAGACAGCTTCTGTATTTTGTGGTATGTTTCCTTCCAGATTTTTTCTCTGAATATTTAAGGATAAGCTTGTGATTTTACAACTGCATGGACAGTATTGTACCCCCGACAAGCAATTCCCTATATTAAAAACTTTTTTTTTCTATATATTTTTCAACACCGCAATTTACATAAACATTCTCTCCTCTCCGGTTCCAAGTCAAGCACTTGGAACCTCCATGGGTAGAGATAATTGGAGAGTGGAGAAACTAGACTCGGGGCATCAATTTCTCCGTGACGCCTAGCTGAAAATACTGCAGTGGTTTTCCCTATCTTTTTTGGTGCCAAACCTCTGGCATCTGACTAAAATTTCCGCTGCTCTCCTTTCACCCCTTCTTGAGGCCTCTTCTGGCTTCCCAATTGTGTCCATGAACGGAGGCTGATGGACCTGGTGGGCTCCTCTTCCTAGTGTTTGACTCAGCGCAGGACTACTAGGAGACTTTGAAGGCTGCGGTCCTTTAGGGGAGCGGGGGTGCCCTCTCTCAGCCTCCCTGACCTGCGTTTTCGGGGCCATGCGGTAGCCGGGGAGGCGGTCTCCCTGGCTGTTCCCGAACGGAGCGCACCGTCCCCTGGGGGAAGCGGCACGTCCAGGGGGAAGCAGGGGGAAGGCTCCCCATCGCTCCCGGCCTCCACAGGTAAGATCCTCCAGCTCCTCCCAGCCCCGGCTGGCGCCGCGCCCGAGCGATTAACATTCCTCCAAGGTGTGGCTGCGGGCGGGGTGGAGGAGTGCGTCCTCCCACAGCCTTCGCGGACTGTTAGGTTTGAGCTGCAGATAAATAGAGGCGTAGAAAGAGCTGAGAAAGTTTCTGAGACCACAGCACTGATTTCCCCCCAAAAAAACCCAGAGCATCGCGGGGCGTACTGGTCTCGCTCCGGGTCGGAGCTCCCGAACGGGTTAAGAGCGCGTGCAAACTCGGGGAGTCCGGCGGGAGCTGTGGCCGCGCCGGACGCTGCCTCCGGGCGTTGCCGTTCTTTTTGGGATGTCCCCGGAGCCGGCGCGGGCCTTCACTTATTTACTCGGTAAAGTTTTCTCGTTCCGAACCCGGCTCCCCGGCTGCCCGAGGGCGGCACGTCTCACCGCCCCGAGGCTCTGGGACTCGCTCCAGGCGAGGGGAGGGGCGGGAGGGGCTCGGTTCCCCCCAAACGACCTCGCCCTGGGGCTGTGCCGGGGCCGAGCCCCCTCCCCGCGGGGAGCGCAGGGCCCACCGCCCGGGGGCCGCGGAGCGCGAGACGCGGGCGGGAAGGGAGCGCCCGCCGCCCCCCCCCCACTCCCCCCGCTCCCCCTCCTCAGTCCCGCCGAGAGCCCGGATGTTGGAATCTCTCCCTGCGCCCGGTCCTTCATTTCCATAAAAGGGCAGCGGCTCCGCGGGGCCGAGATTGCAGCCGCCGCGGGCGCCCCCCGCCCCGCCCCCGCCGGCCCCCGCCCCCGCCCGGAGCGGAGCGGAGGGAGCGCGCCCGGGGCCGCGGGGAGGGGGCGGCCGCCGCGGGCGCTCGGCGGGGCGGGGGCGGAGGGAGCGGCGCGCCCAGCCCGGCCGGACTCGGGCCGAGGGGCGGGGAGAGAGGGTGGAGCGCGGCGGGGAGGGAGGCGAGGGGCAGCGACGCCGGGACTCCATTAGTCGCTCCCGCCGGGAGGCTGCGCTTCGCCGGCTCAGGGGACTCGACGCGCTGCCCGCGAGCCGCCGCTCCGCGCCCGGGGCCGCGCGAGCCCAGGTCTGCGGCGCGGGGGGCGCGTGCGGGGCCGGGACCGGGGCCCGGGGCGGGGGGGCGCGGGGCCGGAGCTCCGGGAGGAATGTGAGCCCGGGCGGCGGCGGCGGGGCGGCCGGCAGGTGAAGGCGCCGCGGTCCGCTAGGCGGGGGCCGGGCGGCGGGCGGCGTGGCCGCTGGGCCGGCGGGGGGGGTGGGCGCGGGGCGCAGATCGCTGCCGCCGCTCCCCGGGTTGGTGCGCACACCCGGGTCCCTCCCTCCCTCCGCCCGGCCCGGGCCGCCGGCGCGCGTTCGGCGGGGCTTGCCTTCCTCGGGAGGAGGGACGCTGACGAGAGCCATTTCCTCCGTGCGCGCAGGAAGGAGCCATGGCTCTGGACGGGATAAGGATGCCAGATGGCTGCTACGCGGACGGGACGTGGGAACTGAGCGTCCATGTGACGGACCTGAACCGCGATGTCACCCTCAGAGTGACCGGGGAGGTGCACATCGGCGGCGTGATGCTCAAGCTGGTGGAGAAGCTCGGTGAGTGGCGGCATCCCGGCCGCGGCGAGGGGCGACCACCCACCCGGGCGCGGGGCGGGCTGGGGGCGGGGGAGGCTGTGGACGGGGGGAGGGGTGGGCTTTGGAAACGTGGGTTGGCCTCCCGCATGTACGGCTTTTTAAAAATGGAAGATCTTTCCGTGTTTCCACCAGTAGACCCCCTCCTGCTGCTTGTTTTGTATGGCTACTCTCTGAAATTTTCATCAGGGGTTCCGGCCTCCCAATGGATACACTTGAATTACGTAGTTACCCGGGAAAACCTAACTCTTCACTGGTGGCGAGTTCACGTTAGTTACAAGAAGTGAGGAAGGTGCGCCAGCGGCTGTTGAGATAGCACAGGGCTTGTGGCTGTCGGGGATCTTCAGTTTACCTGCGTGTTGGTGACGTTTGGTGTCGAGTGTGATGCGAAGTCCGTCTAAGAATAAAACATAACGGGGAAATGTGTCACTTCTGGCGCCAATCTGCAGGCTCGGTGGCTGTCCGGCGCGATGGAGGGGATTAAAATAAGGTTCCGGCCACTCGCGCTCACCCAGGGGTGGGGCCGTGTTTGACTCTGTAGAGTCCATGCCTCCAGTGAGCTATTTCGAGCGTTCAGTTTTCTATTAATTACAAGCTGGTGAAAGAATTTTGTGTTAAAAAAAAAAATGGGCATTGAGCTAATTCGGGGTTGACAGTATTTGCTTGGGTACGAATAAATATATATGTTGAGTTGGTTTAAGACGGACTCATTTTTCAACGATAGGGTGTCCCAACAGTATGAAGTGAAGGAAACTTCACAGTACACATTTTGTGTGATGGATGAAGCCATGTTCAGCTGGAAGAAGCTACTGAAATGATTCGATACATTTCTCACCACAGCGGTGCTGGGAGGACTGCCTTCTGAGCTTTAAAGTGCCTTTTTTAGGTAGTGAAGCTCTGACAAGGTGACATGTGTAGCACAGTCTTTATAGGCTTTTGGACTTTTTTTATTATTATTATTATTAATTATTATTTTAAACAGCATTCCTTCAGGCCACTCCAGAAAAGTAGAGAGGTGATATTTTATTAGGAAATGTTGCTTACCAAGGGATTGTTGTATGCCTACCACATAAACTTACAGGAATAGTGTTCCGGTGCAAATTTGCAGAATAAGTTGGTCCGGGTGGACTGTCTTTGTGTCCCTGCAGGGAATTTAATTACCGAAGTGCCAAAAAGAAGCTCCTCAGGAGGGAGCGTCCTCCTCCGGACTGCCTTGTTGGGCTCCGGGAGACAGCCCGGGAGCGAGCCAGCTAGGGTGGCTCGTGGAAAATGAGATTTTTGCTTTGTCGTTTAGCCACTGACTCGTAGCTGGTGGTTAAGGTTTTTCTCATTTAAGTAAATCAGTCACTGCTTGCAAAATACTGTGAAACTTTGTGTGTGTGTGTGTGTGCCCAGCACTAGTGTGGGGTTACTTAAGGAGAAAATAGCAAATGTAATTGTTTATATTTTCTTTGTTTTCAAAGGAAGCAAACATTTCCATCATAGATTGCTTTATATATGATAAGTGAACCTTGTTAATAACACTGGTTTCAGCAAGAGATATTTCTTATTTTGAAAAAGGAGCTGTTGAAGGTGACTGAGACAACATGTAGTTCTTGAAAGCCAGCCTTTAATGAATAAGTAATGACTTCTATATTTGTGTTGCACTGGGTTAGAATTGTTTATTACAGAATCACAGGCATAAATAGAAATATAGAGAAGTGCCGAAACCGGTTTGGCTCATTGGTAGAGCGTCAGTCTGCGGACTGAAAGGTCCCGGGTTCGATTCCGGTCAGGGGCATGTACATTGGTTGCGGGCACATCCCCGGTAGGGGGTGTGCAAGAGGCAACTGGTCGATGTTTCTCTCTCATGGACGTTTCTAGCTCTCTATCTCTCCCTTCCTCTCTGTAAAGAATCAATAAAATATATATATTTAAAAAAAAAAAGAAATATAGAGAAGAAACTAATTTCCGAGAGAAATTGATGTTAATTTTTAAGTGAGTAGTATAATCTTAAATCTTTTAATGTTCATGCATTTTTAATATTTTATTTAGTGAAAATAAAACATTCCAACATGGTAGGAAATGCCATGTATGGGGAAATCTTGCATGTTTCTCGAACGAAACCAGGACTGATCTTAATATCTTGACTTCCAAATGGAAAGTGCTTATCTACATAATTCTGACTTTGCTGTTTGGTATAAGTAGATCTAGATTATTTTTTGCTCCTGGCCTTAGGATTAGATACTTTTAATGGTAAGTTATTTTATTACCCATTGGTGAGTAAGCAGAGAAGGCACTCAGTAGAGCAGTATTTAAACTGTATGAAACAGTCTCCAATAAAATTAGAAAAGAACATGAAAATTCTTGCCTAGCTGGTTTGGCTCAGTGGATAGAGCGTCGGCCTGTGGACTGAAGGATCTCTGGTTCGATTCCGGTCAAGGGCACATGCCTGGTTTGCAGGCTTGATCCCCAGTGTGTGGCGTACAGGAGGCAGCTGATCAGTGATTTTTCTCATTATTGATGTTTCTCTCTCTCTCTCTCTCTCTCTCTCTCTCTCTCTCTCTCTCTCTCTCTCCCCCCCCCCCCCCCCAATAAAAATAAAAAACAAACAAGAAGTAAAATGTGAAAGTTCTTCATGTTGCCTTCTGAAGCCCTAAGTTGTGTCACTTCTGTCAAAGGGCAGACTGAGTAGCTACTTGTTAACAGTAGCTAAAGTAGATCAAAGCAGCTTGCAGTCTGAATGATAAGAGGTGGAGATTACGGTGGGGATAAGAGGGCACAGGGTCTGTGTGTCTGGATTGTGAAGCAGGGATGGACAAATGAGCAGCACCAATTAGCGGCTGTAGCCTTGGAGCAGTTACAGTACCTCAGAGCAGTAGCTACCACCGCATTCACCAACTACCCAATGCCTGTGTGATACCCTTGTTCTCATGAGAGTGTGTATAAATACCAAAGTATTACGTTTAAAGGCTGTAATAGCAATTGTTTCTCTGGGATCAGTAGATTTTACGAGTCTTCCCCTTAACATTGCCTGTTAAAATTTTGTGTGTATGGGCACATGTGGGATTTTCTGGGAAGAGGCTTCTTGGCTTCCTGTTAGATTCTCAAAGAAGCCCATGATTTAAAAAAAAAAGGGGGGGGGGGAGGGGGTTATGATACTGAAGGTACAGTGTTCATCCCAGAGCTGGTGATTTAATTAAGCAAGCTGAAAAAAGTAAATAATGCTTCCTCGGTATGTGTCAGCACATCTTCATATTCAGAATTTTATAAGGTGCCAGAAACAAATCAGTTTCTCTAAAAGAGAGATGTTGACAGGAAGCCAGGAAGGCTGATCAACCTTAATTGCTTTAACTACTCACCCTTTAGTTGAGACATTGTTAGCAGAAGCAGCCTCCACCTTGTTTGTCCCTGTATGTTTCTGTTATTTCCTGCCTAAGGGCTACATGTAAATTTATCTTTATCTTGACTAAGATGTTTTCTCCAAAGCATTCATAAAAGGGATGGCAGGCCCCCCATATCGCCAAATTGAATTTCTTCAAGTCTCTTCATTTGTGTGTGGCCCTTCTCCAGAACCTTTTCCACGTGAAAGAGATTCCTACAATAAAGAACTTTAGCACCTCAGTTAGATCATTAAACCTTGATTCTTAGATTTATGATTTCAATTAAAAGTTCTGAAAGGTCCCTTTTAAATCCTATGTAATAAAGAGGTAATATGCAAACAGAGCATTACACCATCACAAGCTGATGACACCTACAGTGCTGGCGGGCTGTCTGCTCACATACCTGCTACAGGCGTCCCCCTCAGCCCCTGCTGGGGGCTTCAGATCTTCCTGCACACACACAGACACACACACACACCACTGACAGCTCACCCAGGCTTCTCCAACGAGCTGATCATCCCTTTCTTCCTCCCACCCCCAAAGCTGAAGCCTGACTCTGGTGTTCATCAAATTGGAAGTTATAACTCATGTTGTTGAGAGAATCCTCCATTCCTCAGACAGGGCTGCCTGCCACCAGAGTCCCCTTGGTCCTGCCAGGGACCTCAGGTCCTGCACCCCCCACTGACTGAGGCACAGGCAAGCCTTGGGGCAGCCCAGCCGCCCAGGGCCGGCCCCAGGCGCAGGCAAGCCTTGGATGGTGGCTGCCCAGCCGCCCAGGGCCGCCCAAGGCTCAGGTAACCAGGGCCAGCCAAGGCTTGCACTGCCGGCAGTGGCAGCAGCAGAGTTGTGATGGGGGTGTCGCCTTCCCCTGATCACTGGGTCGCCTCCTGCCCCTGAGGGCTCTCAGACTGAGAGGGGCAGGTTGGGCTGATGGACATCCCCCTGCCCAGTGCATGAATTTTCATGCACCGGGTGTTTAGTCTTAGAATAAAACACCTTTGTTATTCTGCATTAATCTTAAAAGAAAGCAAAGAGTGTACACCATGAAGTGGGCTTCAGGAATTATATCATGATGTGACAGAAACGTTTGCCTCTGGGACTTAGTCTAGGCTGATATTAGACAAATGCTCTCAACATTGATCTCCTTAATGTTTATATCTCATTCCAGAATGAAAAGTTATTCACACATTTTTGTTTTTTAGAAATACAAGTTGAATGCTTGAAATATAGTTTTAAAAATGTATTGCATGTTTTGTTAAAAACAATTTTCAAACCTGTATAGCATTTTTTATTTTAAAGTAAAGGATTAAAATGTCAGAGATAAGGATTATAAAAGTAAGATATCAGAATAGAATTGTAAAGTAATTATGTTCAAAAATAAATTTTGTAAAGAGGAGGCTCGATTTTATGGGTTTCCCTGCCCTTCCTCTGGAGACCATTGAGAGGTATTAAAACCGTTCTCCATAGAGTTAGAGTGTAGTCAGGACTGATGATTCTAAATTCCAAAGAGATACTTTGTTTCCCTGCATTTTAGTATCACTTTATAAAACTTGTCTTTTCAAACTTGTGTGTATAATTAAATTTTTACCTTCCTATAAAAAT